AAAACGAAAATGACCCTAAAAAATGTTGATTGGCTCTAGTTTCCATGATATATTTACCCATCTAATGACGTAAGCCATTCAAAATTATGATGCAACTTCAGCTGCATATTGCGCAATTGATACTGGTGACCAATAGAAAATTGCATGTATACTGAGATGATGCAATATTAGCCTTTAATTGCATCACTTCACTGCATAAAAGCTGCAGTATCTGTAGCTGATTGTAGTTCGACAGCGTCTTTACATTTCGTTTTATGCTTATATAGGCTACTCAGTAATGCCTCGAACTTGTGTGAATAAAGCAGATAATTTCTGCTATATCTGCGGTGAAATAACTTTTATCTCACAAAAAAGGAGGATAACAGGAATGATTAAGAAAGCCTACAACTTGTATTTTGGCTGCAAGATAGGAGACCAGGACAAGAGCTGGGCACCTCATATATGCTGCAATTCTTGTGGGACGGCACTGGAGCAATGGTTGAATGGAAAAAAGGCATCTATGCCTTTCGCTGTGCCAATGATTTGGAGAGAGCCAACAGATCATGTTAGTAATTGTTACTTTTGTATGGTGCCTCCAATTGTAAAAGGGCTAAATAAGAAGAAAAAGTTATCTGTGCACTATCCAAATATTCCATCGGCAATACGTCCAGTTCCTCATGGAGAGAGGCTACCAATTCCTAAAGCACCAGAATCCTTCATGGTTGAGTCAAGTGAGGAAGAACCTGAAGCGTGTAGTCACGTGCAGTTGTAAGAGATAGCCCTTTCCTCGAATACAAGAGAAAAGCTAAGAGAAGCAAAACTGACACAAACTGAAGACAAAACTAGTGAGAATCCTAAGTATTAAAATGATTCAACTTAGCTTATGGCTATAATTTTTCTTGGTAATCCTATGCAATATATTATGCCATTTAGGCTTTGTTATGTAGTCAATATCACTTGCTTTATATTTGTGGAAAGACATCTATCTATATAATTATTGTGCATTATGTAGTCATTACGCCTATAGTAGAAAACTTTCCGTTTACAGAAAAACTAGAGCCAATTGACAAATTTCATTGTTATATTTGAACTCAGAATGTGAAATTCATTAAGAAATGGATCCTTTTGTTTCCAAAACTGGCAAAAAATAAAAATTTGTTGAACAGTGTTACCTGCATTAAGAAAAAAAAAAAACAATGCCAGAATGATCCCTGTAGCCACAGGCATCATCCCGGGCATAACCACTTGAAGTATCGACATAAAAGTACATATTGCGATCTAGCAACTGTTAAAATTGTTACATAATTTTTGACATGATTAATCCAAGCTGACTCTTAGCAACCTGCTAAGGAAAAGGAACAAATACACACAGAAGATTTAAAGCAGGGGTGTTCAACCTGTGGCCCATGGGCCACATGTGGCCCATGACTGCTGTGTATGCGGCCCAACACAAAATTATTAACTTATTTTAAAAAAAATTTTTTATTTTTTTAAATGCAATAGAACTTAGCGAACCTAAGTGTTCATTGAATAAGTGCTGTCTTTAGCATGTCTTTACACGTTTACCTGCCAGTCCCCCACTGTTTTTCCACTGTCTGTATTGGTTTTATCCTGGCTCAAAAAAGTGGATTGTTTGAAATGCAGCCGATTGGACTTCCTTTGTTCTCAGAGGTGTTCAGTAGTCCTGTCTTTGGGTGACAATGCTACTCCTCTAGAGAGACAGTACAGTAAATGAGCATTGCCATCCTAAGATAGGAAGTGTATTACTGACATGAACACCCAGGGGAAAATACATTTTAAAAAGCCCGAATAAAAAAAACTAGTGAAACCACCTCATTGAAAGAGTGGTAAGTTGCAATACATTAAATTTTAGATTTTGAGTTTAGAAATGCTTTAAAGTAAACCTTTCACAATCCACAGCAAATCCAACTGAATGTACAATGGAAAAAAGGTCTACAGTAGCTATTGCTTATAGTCAATGAAAACCACATGCCAAAACAATCCAAAGATATAGAGGTGAAGGCAGCTGAAGTTTTATGAAGTTCTCCAGTTTTCTGATAATGGTAGAGCTTGGCCCACTCCCTACAGAACCTTTGTTGGTCCTTTAACATGAAATTCCTTATGGCATTGAACTCAAACAGATGTTAATCACAAGCTGTTGGAGTGTCCAAGAGCAATATCTTAGATTATGGATAGTCTGAATTACAATACACTCTACAATTCACTACATTGGTATATACAATATAACATGTTACAATAACTACATAGAATTTATGTAATCTCACAAAATTCTCTTTTCAAATAATTGCAAAGCAGTAGGTGCAATAGATAGGCCTGTGAATGCTCTGACTTATCGAGGTCATGGTAAAGCTAATAATAATCACTAGAAATTATTGAATTTCTGAAATTAACATTTCGGCTGAACTTTATCAAAATTCACAGACCTCTGACATTCAGAATTGTTAAACCAAAAGTCCAACTTAATCTGAGTATTACAGGGAAGCAAATAAAGCAAAATTATGCAGAATGGTTTGGGAAGCTTGAGACACTTCTTTCACAAAGTCTACCAAGGGTACTAATATATGAGAATGGGTGGCACAGGCACTTACAGTCAAGCTAAGGGTGATAAATTAACAGTAGAAACAGTTAAAAGGCAAAAGCAGTCTTTGGAGCAGCCTTTTGTCGTTTTATCTCAGATACTTTTAGGGGTTCTGAATTGCCAAAAAACACTGAAATCCAGGTTTGGGACATCCAAATTCACAATTGTATGATATATTCTACTAACCACTTCCATAACCGGCCAATTTCTCTACTACATGTTAAAATATTTTTTTTTTGCTAGAAAATTACTCATAACCCCCAAAGGTTATATATATTTTTAGCAAAGACCCTAGAGAATAAAATGGCGGTTGTTGCAATTTTTTATCTCACACAGTATTTGTGCAGCAATTTTTCAAATGCAATTTTTTTGGAAAAAAAAACCTTCAATGAATTTTAATGCAAAAAAAAAACACAATATATATCCCAATTTTTGATAAAACATAAAAAATGGTGGTATGCCAAATAAATAGATACCAAACATATCACGCTTTAAAATTGCGCACACTGTGGAATGGCACCAAACTACAGTACTTAAAGATCTCCGTAGGCAACACTTTAAACATTTTTACAGATTACCAGTTTGTAGTTACAAAGGAGGCCTAGCCCTAAAATCATTACCTTCTCTATAACGATCGTGGCAATACCTCACATGTGTGGTTCGAACACTGTTTACAGTGACCTACGTATGCATTCACTTTTAAGTGGGGGCACTACAAAATTTGTTTTCATTCTTTTCTTTTTTTTTTACACTTGCCCTTAAATTTTTTTTGATCACTTGGAATGTAAACATCACTTTTAATAGGAATAGGACATGACAGGTCCTTTTTATGGAGACCCCACATCTCTCCTCTATGCTGGAAAGCATGAGATTAAAAAAAAAAGCATCGATCTCTTAAAAAAAAAAAAATCATCATCATCGATTTAAAAAAAATGGCAGTGTTTACATCCGCCGGAACGGTTCTCTGGTTCCCTGATCACACAGGAGAGCACGGAGAGGCGCCATTGGGCAGTAAGATTGGGGGGGGGGGGGGGGGGGGTAGCGTCCCTCCTGCTGGCTGTAAAAGAAATCCAGTGGCTAATGAGCTGCTAGGATGGTTTTAAATTGCAGAGAATTGAAAAAAAAAAAAAGATATATGAATGATGCCTGTAGTTGCAGGCATCATTCATATATCTCCACTGAAACCCGAGCACGTCATATGACACCCTATGGGCGGGAAGTGGTTAATCATATTCAACAGGACTTATTCTGTAATGCTTAAGATGTTTCACTGCCAATACAAGTGGCTTCCTCAGTTCAAGTTAGTGCTAGGAATATACTCCAGGATTTAAAGGCACAGGGGCACCTCAGTCACCTTAAAGGAGAAATACAGCCAAAGCTCTTTTGGCTGTACTTCTCCTGTGGATCACAGGTGTGCAGTTTGTTGAGCACTCCTGCAACCAGTTTTTCTTTAAAGTCAGAATCCACCCCAGAGTCTGGAGCAACACTAGATGCAGCCTTTCAGCGAGGCGCTGAGAGCCTGAGCCAGTTGCTCCCTCCCCCTCCAAAGCCCAGCACTCCAGTGAGCTTGGGGGGGCAGAGCAGAGAACAGTGACTGACAGTCCCACTCTTTGCTCAGGGCGGTTGTGAGAACTCAGCGATCATCGGTCATGTTCTCACCCTTAGAGCCGGTAGGGGAGAGAGGCAGCATCGGAGAGAGGCTGCATCCACCTAGTATAAATGGGGAAAAAACACAAACCAAAACTTTTCTTTTAATCCAATCATTGTAGTATTATACATTGACAGATGTTGACTGTCCAAAAATGTATGATACCATTGCAATTGTATTTAAGTTGAACTTAGGTCAGCACCCCCCCACAATAACCCCACCCTCTTTCTAGCTAATTGCCCTAGTTATTTAAAATAATCTAAAGGCCTAAAGGGTACATTTTTGTGATGTGGACATCTCCAATTGGGTCCATCGTTGATGTTCTTACAAGGTCCTGAAGACACTGATAGTAGCGCTAGAAAGGTTAAGGTAAAGATTTTTTTTTTTAAATAGTAAAAGAGAATGAGATGTAAGTGAGTGGGAGGGAGTGGGAGGGCTATCGATTTTGCTTGAAGAAGGTCTTTAAAACGACTGAGTGACCTGTGTGGCTATAAATGCTGGGGTATGCCCTTGATATTAGAACTGATGAATATACTTTGATGAGTGGGGAAATATCATCTCTTCATCAGAATAAGCTCAGTTAAATGTAACTAACTAGTACTGGCTACAGACACTAGATACATCAGTACAACTATGATAAGGATCTAGAGATGTTGTACTTACAGTTGTGGCACAATAGATGTCTTTCCACACTGTGTCTTCTCTGGAGAGGTCTGACACTTCAAATAAATTATCCAAGATGACCTCCCCAATCATGTCATGTCTAGAGAATCGGTCAAAATCATAAACGCTGAAATGCAGTTTCCTGTTGCTCAGCTGGTCATAGGCCACGGGAAACTGGAAAGTCTCATCAAAGATGGGGTTTAGTGTTTTCCTGTGAACCCTCGTCTGAAACTTCTTCTTCCTGTCTGGGAGAAGATAGATTTTCACGTAGGGGTCTGATGTACCACACAAGTCCTTGGCTGGCAATTCCAAGGCTTTCACGATTTTCACAAGAAGAAGTTCATTCTCATAGTCATACTGTAAGGTGAAGTTGAGTTTGGGCCGCATGTTTTAGCATCCTCCTTCTTGTTGTCGTCTGAGTCAAAAGATTTTTGTTTGTAGAGTTCCGGTTTGATTCGGCCAATGCTGGTGGTGGTCTCACCTCTTTGTAATGGTTCCACTCCCATACTGAAGTCCACACTGGATACCTGCATCTGTCGTGGCAAGTGTCTCCGGAAGGAATTGTGTCTGAAGGAGGAACAAACAAGTGGGATGGAAGAAATTTGCTTGTGTTAGAAATTTGTTATGTACTCATAAATCGGTATTTAACCTAAAATCAAAAATGTAATATACTGCAGCTTATCAATCATTAGATATGGCAGCTACATTAGTTTTTTTTTTGTAAGCTGGTGATCTGGCCAGTAACGCATCTCCTGTATTCGAATGCCCCCACTCTGGTTGAGCACAGAGGACACCTTTGGACAGCAGCATTGTCAGTCTAATGGGAGGAAAGTGTTAGATGCACTTGCAGGTTTGGATTCAATAACAAGTTAAAGCCAAGCTCCAGCTAACACTTTATAAGCAGTTACAGCAAATTTTTTTTTTTGGGGGGGGGATAAATGCTTTATATAAATAAATAAAAGCTTATCATTGTAAGCACCCTTGTCAGTGTAAATGATTTGTCTCATCCCTGTAACTATGACATTTGCAAGAGAGTTTGTTCTTTTGAAAAACAACAGCTTAAAAACCAATCTAATGCAACCATTGGTAAGCTGCAATATAATAGATGTTTGCTTTTAAGTTTTATAGCACTTGACAATTTCCACCCAATGTTAAAGTTTTGATATAATGTGTTTACTTGCACAGCTGTTGTGAATCCCTACCGGCATTCCTAAATCCTTCTAATTGCTAGGGTAACTACAGAGATACATTTTCTTAAAGGATTTTTAATGTATGAAAAAAAATGGGGAGCTGTGAGAAATGGATACCTTTTTCTCCCACTTCTGACAAATCATGCTCAGAAAGAGTGGCATGCTCAGAAAGAGGTGTAGTCAAACATGTGTCCTAATTTTTTAAAGGTTCATACATATGTGGCTGACATTGAAGAACTGGAAGATTGTATCTTCAATGCAATCCTGTTAAAGTCTTTTCACAGAAAAAATTTTGTTCTGGGCTTACGTTTGATATGCAGTGCCTTGCAAGAGTATTCATACCCCTTGAAATTTTCCACATTTTGTCATGTTACAACCAAAAACATAAATGTATTTTATTGGGATTTTATGTGATAGACCAACACAAAGTGGCACATAATTGTGAAGTGGAAGGAAAATGATAAATGGTTTTCAAAACGTTTTAACAACCCATATTTGAAAAGTGTGGCGTGCATTTGTATTCAGCCCCCTTTACTCTGATACCCCTAACTAAAATTTAGTGGAACCAATTGCCTTCAGAAGTCACCTCATTAGTAAACAGAGTCCACCTGTGTGTAATTTAATCTCAGTATAAATACAGCTGTTCTGTGAAGCCCTCAGAGGTTTGTTAGAGAACATTAGTGAACAAACAGCATCATGAAGGCCAAGGAGCCCACCAGACAGGTCAGAGATAAAATGTGGAGAAGTTTACATCTCATGGAGTACTGTTCAATCCATCATCCAATAATGGAAAGAGTATGGCACAACTGAAAAACTTTCCAAGACATGGTCGTCCACCTAAACTGACAGGCCCAGCAAGGAGAGCATTAATCAGAGAAGCAGCGAAGAGGCCCATGGTAACTCTGAAGGAGCTGCAGAGATCCACAGCTCACATGGGAGAATCTGTCCACAGGACAACAATTAGTTGTGCACTCCACAAACCTGGCCTTTATGGAAGAGTGGCAAGAAAAAAAGCTGTTGTTGAAAGAAAGCCATAAGAAGTCCCATTTGCGGTTTATGAGAAGCCATGTGGAGGGCACAGCAAATATGTGGAAGAAGGTGCTCTGATCAGAAGAGATCAAAATCGAACTTCTTTGGACTAAAAGCAAAATGCTATGTGTGGCAGAAAACTAACACTGCACATCACCCTGAACACACCATCCCCACCGTGAAACTCGGTGGTGGCAGCATCATGTTGTGGGGATGATTTTCTTCAGCAGGGACAGGGAAGCTGGTCAGAGTTGATGGGAAGATGGATGGAGCCAAATACAGGGCAATCTTAAAAGAAAACCTGTTAGAGTCTGCAAAAGACTGGAGACTGGGGGAGGAGGTTCACCTTCCAGCAGGACAATGAACCTAAACATACAGCCAGAGCTACAATGGAATGGTTTAGATCAAAGCATATTTGTGTTAGAATGCCCCAAAGTCCAGACCTAAATCTATTTGAGAATCTGTGGCAAGACTTGAAAATGACTGTTCACGGACACTCTCCATCCAATCTGACAGAGCTTGAGCTATTTTGCAAAGAAAAATGGTCAAAAAATATCACTCCCTAGATGTGCAAAGCTGGTAGAAACATCCCCAAAAAGACTTGCAGCTGTAATTGCAGAGAAAGGTGGTTCTACAAAGTATTGACTCAGAGGGGGCTGAATACAAATGTGCGCCACACTTTTCTGATATTTATTTGTAAAAAAATTTTGAAAACCATTTATCAATCTCCTTCCACTTCACAATTATGTGCCACTTTGCGTTGATCTATCACATAAAATCTCAATAGAGTACATTTACGTTTTTGGTTGTAACATGACAAAATGTGGAAAATTTCAAGGGGTATGAATACTTTTTCAAGGCACTGTAGACCCTAGCAGAATAACATTTAGTTTGCCAAAATACTGTGCATTATAAACAACTGCCATTTCTTTTATAAAATTCTTGTTTCCACATATTTTTCATCCACTGTTGACCATGCCAATGTATATTGAAACATCCACCTGTACTCTCCATCATGTGCCAGAGTGACAACTCAGGAGTACAGTTGTGAAACAAGAACAGAATGTTGTCACCCTTTAACAGGAAATGCCTGAACAGGGACCTTCATGGTAGGATCACCAGGTATTATTTAGGGAAAATTGCAGATTTAAAGATACTAAAAATTTTAAATACATTAATGTGTTAAATACATTAATGTATTTAAGAGAAAAACTGCAAATTTAAAGACACTAAACTACTTGGGTGCATGGCTAGTTTTGTGTTCCACTGATCATCTGTCACTGACTGCACCAGACAAAACAAAAGTTAAAGATGATTAATTAAAGATACAACAGAGCTCTCATTGTTCATCTCATTTTCATGTTTACCTCCCATGAACCGCATCCCGCTCCTCCAACGAACACGCCACCCTTTGTTTCATGACAGCCAGTTAAAATCATTCAGAAAAGGGAATGCATAAAGCCTGTTATATATGAAATAGTTTTCCAATGCTTATATAGAGGTTGACATGACACTTCTCCCAGATTCAATTAATTTTGTTCTTTTGTCTGCCAAATTTGCATACAGAAATTGTCTGTGTGTTGCATAAATTACCTCACATTGTTATCACACTGTCTGAACTCTTAGCGTTCCAGAGTAATTACTTTTCATAAACGTTTTGTGTCTGTCAGCAGCTTGCCAGAACCTTCTACCCTACCACCCCCCTAGCCTTGTAGATATGGAGACCAGTAAATAAGGCACTAGGACATCAGCAGTGAAAGTGTACACTATTATATGACATTACACAACTCACAGGTGGGTACCAATGAGAAGAGTAATGATGAGCAGTGGGATCTATGGTGTGCTATCCTGTGATCAATTGCATTTTGGTGCCTCAAATGTTAGACCTGTTTCTGGGTATATATGACCCACTGATTCCAAAAATGGCACCATGTTTCCCTATCAGCTCTAGTTTTTGAAATACAGCATAAATGCCATATACCACTCTTCACTCTAGTTGCCTGTCAAAAGTCACAATATTTTAAAGTAGTGTTTTATTTAACCCCCTTTTAGTATGAAAGAAACACATAAAAAGTAGCCATAACCTCTATAATGCTTGATCTGCAAAAATGAAACAATATGAGGGGTCGCGACCCCTTTGGGGGTCGAACGACCATTTCCCAGGGGTCGCCTAAGACCATCGGAAAACACATATTTCCGATGGTCTTAGGAACCGAGAACACCGCTCCTGTCTCCGGCGATGTGTGGGCGGGATATGCTGCCCCTGTCACCGCCTCCTCGCCGCTGATTGGCCACCGGAACTGTAGCTCAGGAGAGGCACACAGGCGGCCAATCACCGGTGAGGAGGTGGAAGCTTGGAGAGGAGGAGCCGAGCGGCAGCGCGCGCGGAGATCAAAGAAGATAGAGGGAGCTGCAGGAGCGAGTGAAGAGAGAGGCCAGAGAAGGAAGACAGCTGACAGGTAAGTGCAAATTTTGCTGCTGCAGCCAGGTATGCAGGCTGTAGATGGGAGAGAGGAGAGAGAGCGAGCCCAGGCTGGAGCAGGAGTCAGCAAGGTAAGTATCATTGGTGTCAGTGGGAGGGCTAGTGCCCCATCATTTGTGTCACTAATACCAACGATGGGGCACTATTCCTCCCCCCACTGACACCAACGATGAGACACTATTCCTTCCTCACTGACACCAACGATGAGGCACTATTCCTCCCCCCACTGACACCAACTATGGGGCACTATTCCTCCCCCCTACTGACACCAACGATGGGGGCACTATTCCTCCCCCCACTGACACCAACGATGGGGCACTATTCCTCCCCTCACTGACACCAACGATGGGGCACTATTCCTCCCCCACTGACACCAACGATGGGGCACTATTCCTCCCCCCACTGACACCAACGATGGGGCACTATTCCTCCCAATGACACTCACGATGGGGCACTATTCCTCCCAATGACACCCACGATGGGGCACTATTCCTCCCCCTGGCACCCACAATGGGGCATTATTCCTCCCACTGACACCCACAATGGGGGCACTATTCTCCCACTGACACCAATGATGGGGCACTATTCCTCCCACTGACGCCAATGAATTGGGCACTATTCCTCCCCCACTGACACCAACGATGGGGCACTATTCCTCCCAATGACACCCACGATGGGGCACTATTCCTCCCCCTGGCACCCACAATGGGGCACTATTCCTCCCACTGACACCCACAATGGGGCACTATTCCTTCCCACTGACACCAATGATGGGGCACTATTCCTCCCACTGACGCCAATGATTGGGGCACTATTCCTCCCACTGACGCCAATGATTGTACACTATTCCCCCACTGACGCCAATG